CAGGAAGACTGACCGCAGCAGGGCCCTGCTGTCCTCTGGGATCTGAATGGCCCGGTCTGCCCCCTTCCCTGCACATCCCATCGGGGCTCCGAGACTTGATCAGAACATAAGCACAGCAAACAGCGTTGTGCTGGAACTTAGTAACGCAAGCGTGGCAACTCTCCCATTAACACTGAAGCCCCATTCTCCCTAACTGTGGAGGGAAAGGACTATGCTGGGTGGAGGGCATGGCGTGGTCACCTCGACAAAGGAGCTCCCAGCTAATCTCCCAGGTAAGCCTGCGGTACCAAGCATAAAAACTGGTTTCCTCCTCCCAGAGCATGTTTCTCCTTGTTTCAACAGAAATGTATGTGCGGTCTGGTGCTGAGCACTAGGGACGCGGTGGCTGACGTCAGCACTGCCTGTGAATGAGCTGATTTGTGGGCTGGGGAGGCCCACTCACCCCCTCAGACAGATGGGGTCCTCTGGGGGCCTGGAGCTGGAGGCTGGAGACTATTCCCTGATGAGGAAGGGAAGCTTGCACAGATCGGAAAGCTGAAGGGGTGTTACCCAGGTAAAGGCGGGGGGCATGGGGAGATCTTCGGGAGCCAGAACAGTATATGCAAAGGCACCGTGGCAGCGAAGGTGGACATAGGAGGGATTAAAGAAAACGTCATCGTAGCCAGAGAGCAAGGAGGGACACATTCAGATTCTAGCTTGTGCCAGGTGCCATTTAACGGCAGGTGCTTTACATGCTGCCTCATTTATCCCACGAGACACTTGCACTTTATCAGCTTTTTAAATAGAAGGAACTGAGGCACCAGGTTAAGTAACTTCCCCAAGACCATTTAAAAGCAAAGCAATAATTTTTCTATCTTCCCTGAAATGTGACAGGGTCCACATCTTGGATGGGTGGGGGGAACATGAAAAACTAGCTAATCACATTCACTGTGGAGGGAAAGCAGTCAAAGCAGCTCTTACCCAACAGGTGATGGAGTAAAACCGTCACTTTTCAACTAGCTGTTTTCACCTCCTGGGCCGTAACCGCAGTGAAACGTATTGCAGGAGAGTCTTAGTTCCCTTTTTAAGAAACGGTGCCCATGTAGTTAAGTTTGGAGTTTAAAATAATCTAAAAACACTTGGTGGGAGTAATTTGAATGATTTAAAAAAATACTTTTCCAAAATTTCCACAGGAACTATACACTATTTTCATCGTCATAAAAATTAAGGCACAGAAAAGAAATGAAACGTCAGCCTAATTAAACAATGGGCAAAGGACCTGAACGGACATCTCCCCAAGATGGGAGAAGGAGCTCACCTTCATTAGTCAACAAAGGAAAGCAAACCAAATGCAATGAGATTTGGTGTCATACTAAACCGGGGTTCCCAAACCCGACGTCCACCAAGCAATTCCTGGGACACCAGCGTGTCTGAGGACTGTTCTGACTTACCCACCGGTGACAGCGTGGGATCCCACGGGTGAGGGCCATCCCCCGAGAGCACCCTGGGTCCCGTCACAGGACGCAGGCTGAGCTTCACCCACTGCAGTGGGGAGGCTCCAGTGACCCCTTCCTCAGGTTCTTTTCCTTTGCTAGAGCGGCTCACAGAACTCAGGAAGCAGCAGCTCGTGGCAGAAACACTCAGGACCAGGTCAGGAAGGTGGGAAGGGCGGAGCTCCCGGGCCCTCCCCAGGTGCCACTCGCCCTGAACCTCCACCGGTTCACCAACTGGGAAACTCTCCCAACCCACTCTTTGTGGGTTTTTATGGAGGCTTCATCACATAGTCATGCCTAAGTCAATAGCCATCAGCTCCCTGAACCTCCAGCCCCCTCCCCGCCCACAGTTTGCAGGGGGTGGGGGGGAGGGGGGAGACGGGAAGCTCTAACCAGTTAGCCATGTGGTCGTCCAGCCCCACCTTTGGGCGGGGTCCTAAAATCACCTTGTTTAGTGTAACAAAAAACACCTTGATCACTCTTCCTTTCAGAAACTCCACGGGTTTTAGGAGCTGTAGGCCAGGAACCACGGAGGAAGACCAAATACTTTCAGGGAATAGATTTCGGTCATTCGAACGACCCAATATGTATCTCCTACAAATCTCAGTATGTCTCACATACTCACTAGGACAGTCACGTCTGTGGACAAAACCACGCCAACTAGAGACGCTGACATGACTGGACCAAAGCTGCTACGGTGCAGAGGCAATTCTGTATGCATGCCACACATCAGGGAGACGGACGGCTCTGAAACTGGCTTGGTACAAATTATGCCCAAGAAGAGAACTTCAAACTGGAAGGTGGTCCCCGGCACCTCTCAGGTTCCTCTTTTCGGGGAACATCAGTGATAAGTGGTCAAGGGGAAGGTTATCCTGGGTGACACTGAGCTACAGTCTGGCCACTGATGAGAAACGCTGTCCATTCTGAACCATGTCACATTCCCTTGTAGCTTTGCCCAAACCTGTTATGAAAAATAATCTCGGCATGTGACCTCCTTACACCATAAAGAATAAATTCATCCATCCACAGACCCTAAAATAGAAGCCCTCTGACTATATCTAAAACGGGGAAAATTATTTTCTCTATGAGCTGAAAATGTGCAAATGATCTACTACAACACATTTAAAAAAATGTAGTACACAAAAAAATAACTACCCGACAATAATCATTATTACATTTTGGGTAATCTGTGTAGCTTTTTGTCCACCCCCCTCAAATGAAGAATTTTCTGTAGAATTACTAAAACTCAGTAAGACCCTGCAGAAAAGAATGTCAAAGGTATGGCTCTCCCCAGATAATGACTAGGGCATATAAAGAAATACGACCCTTCCATATAATGGAGAGTGACCTCAATTCTGGCTTCTCTGACCTCGAGTATCCATCCCACGCCGCGAACAACGACAAAACAGCTGTAATAAAGGATCTCCCCAGAGCACAGACCAGTCATGTCTGCAGACCCCGTACCGAGGCTCTTTGATAAGGTAAGGTAGGAGTTACAAAATACGCATTTGGTGCCATGGTTCAGGTCAACCAACGTGTGTGCGTTACTTCCTGTGTACCAGGCACAGCGTTGGGATGAATAAATCATGGAAGCCACTCCCTAGGAACTCAGATGAGACTAAAACCCAACAGAGAAAGGAGAAGTGCCAATCCCGATGTGGTGAGCTGTATGAAAGCGACAGGCGCCCCTGCTGCAGGCCATATTGCTGGCCGTTCCCACGTGCCCCAGGCGCCTGCAGCACACAACACACCAGTCTGCCAAAGAAAAATGTTATTTTCCTTTTGGAATTGATGCCCAATAAACCGTGTTAGGTCAACAGCACCAGAGAAATTGGTAATGTTCAAAATCAGTGTTTCCACAATTAGAAGAGTCTATGTTACCACAAAAGACAAAATAGTAAGCATCACATCCTACAAAAATACACAAATTCAACATGTTACATAAGGCTTTTCAAGATCAAAGATGATATGCGAAGAGTATAACGGTTATGGGAAGTGTTACACACCGAGCAACACATCGTTGGTGTCACAGCCGTATTATCTGATGTCTTTAGAAAAATGCTGTGGGGCAATGCTTTCTTTTTTTCTCCATGAATTTCCCTGTGCTAGAAGGGGCGGTGTAACATCCCACGGACCCTGGAGGTGTCCTCAGTGTACCGCGCTGATCTTTAACAATGGTTCACAATTGTGAGCGGTGGTATTTCAAAGGCAGGACCACACCGCAGTTCCAGGAAATGTGGTGAAGGGGCACAGGTTTAGAATCCGAGGAAGGGAGCTTCAAATCCCAAATGTGCTGTGTGACCTTGGGCAGGCTGGTTAACCTGTCTGTTCAGCTCCCTCCTGTGTGACACAGAACCATCACCAGTTCCGCACTGTGCGATGAGCAAATGTACGAGAAGTTTCTTAAACATTGTAGGCTCTCAGGCAAAGACACTTAATAATCTAATAAGATATTAAAAAACAGGTCCTATACACACCTGGCAATAATCATGATTACATTTCGCGGCAACCTAGCTAGTCCTTTTTCCCCAAATGAAAACTTTCCTATGGAATGACTAAAGCTGAAATAGAAGAATATGCTCTGTTTGGCCAGAAGCCAGCAGGAAATGCAGGGACGGCAGGGAGAGCATGAGGTGGGCAGAGCGTGGAGACTCCCCAACTGGGCTCAGAGGTGCGAGCACACTAAGCAGTGCTCAGCAGTGCGCTCACAGACGGTTACCAGCCTACGTGTCATGTTGTGTGTATTTTCCCACAATGAAATAAAACTAAAAACCCCACCACAACTGCTAGAGGCCAGGGCTGGGACGAGTTTGTGCCCCCAGCCCCTACACCGTCTCAGCGCGCCGCGGACACTCAGTACCACTGAATGGGAGCCGACCGGCGGGCTAGTGACAGGTCTGGGCGCCCTCGTCTGGTTCACTCCTCGGTCCACGCTGAGGAACCAGGACCGGGAGAAGGAAACAAACCGGAACCTCGCTGACCGGCTGACTGCTAGCCCTGGGGACGCCAGCGTGGTTCCTGGACCCTTCCACACTGGTGACCTCAGAGACCCAGAGGAGAAACCCGTGTGTCCCGGACTGGAAGCACCGGGAAGGTGCTCACCATTGACTCGGCAGGGGAGCCTGGTGCTGGGCGTCCGCATCTCCTCGGGTGTCGGGCCACCTCTGGCCACAGAGTGCCCTGTCCCACCAGCCAGACAGGCAGACGCAAGGACTCCTGTTCCTAATCCACACGCAGAGCGCGAGGCCTTCAGACCTGAAAATGGGCTTCGCAGCCCAGTCCGAAACTGCAGCAGGCTCAGACCGAGTGTCTTAGCGCGCCTGCACGCTCCGATGCGGCAGGCCATCATTTACCATCATTTACCGAAGCCTGCAAGGGCTGCCCTTGACAGAAGCTACCGGGATTTGGGAACCCGTGGCTCGGGCTTCAAACCATCCGGGGTACTGGCTTCGTGCCCCTGCCCGGCCGGTACTACCTTCTGCCTCCTAGATGGCCGAAAACCCACTGCTTGAACCTCCTGAAACTCACCTGTTGGGTTAGCACTGTGGTTTCCTGAAGGCACCAAATTCTGTGCGTTTAGAGATCCTATAAACAAAAGAAAAGAAAAAGAAAAAGAAAAAACATCCCGTGATGAAAAAGCATTTAACATTGATGTAAGAACACCGGAGACAGGTTGTGGTGATGCGCAGGAGGCAGACATCCCCCAAGAAGCTCTCCTTCGCCACTACTGCTACAAAGCACACCTGACCTGCCAGGAAACCTGGGACTGTATTACTGGGGTTTTCAACGCAGAAAACATTTGACTCAGGTTAACAAACGCTTACATCCTACTCACTATGCACCAGCTCCTGCAAAGTTCGTTCACTTACATGGGGACACAGGGATTGGTGAGAGAAAGGCCACTTTCCGTTCCTTGGAGGGGCCTGGGCACCTGGGAGGGGCCCTTTCAACGCAAGGGCACCCTTGGGCCTCACACCACCCAGACCCCTAACTTCATACCATGGAGAGAAGACCAAGTGGGTAGGATTTTCCTTTTTTCCTCCACTTCCCCTCGGGCAACCACCAGTTTGTTCTCTGTATTTTAGAGTTTGTTTCTTTGTTCATTTGTTTCTTAAATTCCACATACAAGTGAAATCATATGGTACTTGTCTTTCTCTGACTGACTTATTTCACTTAGAATAATGCTGTTTAGCTCCATCCACATTGTTGCAAATGGCAAAATCTCATTTTTTATGGTTGAGTGATATTCCATTACCCACCCCATCTTTATCCACTCATCCACCGAGGGACACGTGGGCTGCTTCCATCTTTGAGCTGTTGTAAATAATGCTGCAATAAACATAGGGCTGCATCTGTCTTTTCAAATAACTGTCTTCATTTTCTCTGAATAGACATCCAGAGGTGGAACTGCTGAATCACATGATAATTCTATTTTTAACTTTTTGAGGACCCTCCATACTGTTTCCCAGAGTGGCCGCACCAGCTTGCGTTCCCAACAATAGTGTACAAGCGTTCCCCTTTCTCTGCATCCTCACCAACACCTGTTGTTTCTTGTCTTTATTCTCACCATTCTAACAAGCATGTGGTTTTGATTTGCATTTCCCTGATGATTAGTGATGCTGAGCATCTTTTCATGTGTCTACTGGCCATTTGTATGTCCTCTTTGGAAAAATGTCTATTCAGGTCCTCTGACCATTTTTTAATTGCATTTTTTTTTTGGTGTTTGGTTTGTATAAATTCTTTATATATTTTGGATATTAGCCCCTTAGGATTTTCATTTTTAATTGTAAGACTTCTCATAGAAGTATGATTCTTTTAATTTTTAACTAGTACCTTAAGATTTGGAAAAACTTTAGAAGAATTCTATGCCCCTCGTCAGAGTGGTTTATTCAACCTGGGTCTTTGTATAATGGGATATTAAATATACCAGATGAGAAGAGAGGTGTATTATTGACAAAGGTAGCACTCCCCAGCCAAAAACCCCTCAAAGTACAAAGTAAGTAAAACAACTTTGAAGGATCTTTGCTGTGTGTGCAACCTGAAAAAGATCAAGGTCAGTAGACTCGTCTCCGTAGAATGAGAAAGACGAGTCATGCCGCCGACTAAGGCAGGCTTCAGGGACTGATGAAGCAGTGACTCTTGGTTAAAACAAGTCAGTGCACCAGTGTCCTGCACTGTCCCAGCCGTATTTAGCAGCTGGTATCAAATACTTGCTAATATCGTGAAGATCGTCCTCCATGCCAGGCCTCCTGGGGAGCACGTCACTTCACTAGGTCACCCAGCTCTGTCAACAATTCTGAGACACAAAGACCATTCTGCAGTGACAGGAAGTGAGGCCCAGAGAAGCCTACCCAGCTAGGAAGTGGCAGAGCCTGGATTTGGACCAGGCCGTTTGACTGCAAAGCCCATTCACGGGAGCGCCAGAAGGAAGTGCTGATTTTCTACTGCAAACCTGCTTGTCCCGGGGCTTCTCCATTGCTGGGTTACCAGCTGTTCAACCCCCACACCAAGAGGTCATCCTGGGTTCTTCCTTCTTCCCCACTCCCTCCTCCAGTCCATTAGCAGGTGATTTCAGTTTCATACCCCCCACCCCAGGGAAGGCCTCCATGTGCTTATGACATGCCGCTGCCTTCTGCCTGGACCACAGCAGGACCCCCCTCCTTCTGTCTCCCTGCTCTTGTCACTCCTATGACGCATCATGTCCCAGCAACCTTTTTGGCTTAAAAAAGGACACAAAAGCAGATGGTCTTTGTAGCTCTAGGACCTTTCTCCTTTCTCGACTCAATTACTTATGACACATCTACTGTGCGTAGGCACTGGTTTTGTATCCTAGAAGACAAGGAATATACCACGGACATCTAACTACCAAGAGACTGATGCTTTACTTGACAGAGACCAAGTATTAACATAGACCAATGTGCTGAATGGAAGAAAAGAAAGTTACATCCACGAAGTGGCACGGACTCAGTAAAGATTAATTTACTCTCCTCACTCGCTGCCCGGGGAACTCACTTTAGATAGTCCCTCACCCCCACCCCAGGCCTACAACACTTGAACTACAGCTCGGCTTGGCTCACCTGAGAGTTGACAGATGTAATCAAGACAGCCGGAAGTGGCCTTCTCCTGGCAACCTATTTGAACTCTTGAATACTACATTTCTGAAGCCACTCTGGACTTCTGTGCTAAAGACTCAGTAAAGTCTCTGCTTTCCACTAAGGCTGTTCAAGGTGGGTTTGTCACTTGCCACCAAGAGTCCTGATGAAAAGCCTCCCCCTGGCCACGCACGACCACTGTCTATCCTGTTGGCAGCTTTGCTAACTTGCTCATTGCCTCCCCCACTCCTCCAGCTGAGGGTGTTTATGAAACTACACAGGATAGTATGCATAGTATGCAGGATATTTTAAAAAAAGAATCTCCATGTTTTTATCTTCTACAACATCATGGACTATAGCAGATTGTACATTTAAGCATTACCGACTTGAATAGCCAATACCACCTAAAGTGACTTAGTGGCAAAATGGTGAATAGTTGGGATTTTTAATCTCTGAAATCAAACAGGTATCAGCTGTTTTACTTTTAATAAGGCAATTTCTCAGCCTCATATTTTTTTTCTATTTATAAAATGGGAATAATACTGTGAGGATCCAATGGGATGATGTATGGACCTCAATTAGCATAATGGGGAGTACACAGGAAAAGTGCCTAGTAAAAAATGCTGTCTAAGCTCTAGGATGACTGTTAAAAATTACTGGATTTCATAATGACACTTACTTGTTTTGAGAAATTCTCTATAGAACCTTCTTTCACTCTAATTTCAAAGTGACATTAGAGTCTGTAGAAATGCTTTCCAGCTCATGTTCATTATAGTCGTTCATGAAATGAAGGCTCTCCTATAGTACAGCCTTCATTCCAAGATTTCCAAATAGCACTAGCCTCTAGAGAGACTTTAAATAAACAGAACAAACAGTATTAAAATAAGGCCCCCCCCAAAATCTGTGTTATTAGGGCAAAAAAAAAGTAAAGCAAGGATACTTAGTTTCTCTAATCAGTAATTCATCAGAGAAACAAGGTTTACTTTCATAAAATAACAAATAAAAGGGAGACCTTCTATAAGTATTGGTATAAAATTAGCACCAAAATAGACTGATTCAGTCCAGATTGTTCACCTTACAGTGAAACATCTCATAATATTGAAAATACGACGGGTGTGATTTACTGATCATTGTTTCCTTAAATAATCTCAGAATCAGGTCTGCAAAGCCGACTTGTGACATGCACAATCCAGCATAGGAAACAAAAAAATCAGCAAAACAAATGAAAATTGTTATTGTCGAACTCAGCCATATTATTCTAGCCAAAGCAGGTGTTGTGCCTGAACTGACATCTTTATCTTTTCCTGGATAAAACTAATCTCAGGCTAAACAAACAGCCGATGGACAGAACTTAAAACTACGGAAAACTTGGGTCACTTAAAACAACTTACCCTAGTTTACCGGCCATTACCCAGGGACCCGACTGCTACAAAAGTTGACCAAAGGAAAAGGGAATTTACAACAAACCCCGGCTTCCCGGCCTCTTCCCTAAAGGACTTTTAAAGTCCCCAGCCCCCC